AGCGCAAGGCAGCAGCTGATTTTTTTTTTTAGATTATGCCACCGGAGTGGCTAGTTTATTGTGTACCTCATATCCATCCTGTGGATGGTAGTGGCTGGTTTATTGTGTACCTCATATCCATCCTGTGGATGGTAGTGGCTAGTTTATTGTGTACCTCATATCCTGTGGATAATAGTAGCTAGTTTATTGTGTACCTCATATCCATCCTGTGGATGGTAACACAAAAGCATATGGATACACAAAAGGCCTAGGAACTAGATCCTAAAAGGGTTAACAGGAGGACCTCATATCCCGATGTTAACAGGGTTAACATCAGGATTTATATCTACAGCTCACCTCTCTGTTACAAGAAAATTTAGGAAATTTGCTTAATATATCTGGCTTCTTAAACTGTGTGGAAATAAAGACAACATTATTATTATAACCAAAAAGAAGCGCTAAACCACAAGGGTTATACAGCAATAAAGACAACAATGAATTGTCTTACAACGAAATACAGTTTCTTCTGAAAAGTTCCAGTTTGATTATTATGTTGTAAGATAAACATACCCGGATGAACGAGTTGTCTAGAACACCCAGGTAGGTGGAGTGTGACGGTAGTGGTAGGTGGAGTGTGACGGTAGTGGTAGGTGGTGTGTGACGGTAGTGGTAGGTGGAGTGTGACGGTAGTGGTAGGTGGAGTGTGACGGTAGTGGTAGGTGGAGTGTGACGGTAGTGGTAGGTGGAGTGTGACGGTAGTGGTAGGTGGAGTGTGACGGTAGTGGTAGGTGGAGTGTGACGGTAGTGGTAGGTGGAGTTGTGACGGTAGTGGTAGGTGGAGTGTGTGACGGTAGTGGTAGGTGGAGTGGGGACGGTAGTGGTAGGTGGAGTGTGACGGTCAGGGGTAGGTGGAGTGTGTGAGGGTAGTGGTAGGTGGAGTGTGACGGTAGTGGTAGGTGGAGTGTGGGGACGGTAGTGGTGGTGGTGGGGACGGTAGTGGTAGGTGGAGTGTGTGACGGTAGTGGTAGGTGGAGTGTGACGGTAGTGGTAGGTGGAGTGTGTGACGGTAGTGGTAGGTGGAGGTGGACGGTAGTGGTAGGTGGAGTGTGACGGTAGTGGTAGGTGGAGTGGGGACGGTAGTGGTAGGTGGAGTGTGTGGACGGTTAGGGTAGGTGGAGTGTGACGGTAGTGGTAGGTGGAGTGTGACGGTAGTGGTAGGTGGAGTGTGACGGTAGTGGTAGGTGGAGTGTGTGACGGTAGTGGTAGGTGGAGTGTGTGACGGTAGTGGTAGGTGGAGTGTGACGGTAGTGGTAGGTGGAGTGTGTGACGGTAGTGGTAGGTGGAGTGTGACGGTAGTGGTAGGTGGAGTGTGACGGTAGTGGTAGGTGGAGTGTGACGGTAGTGGTAGGTGGAGTGTGACGGTAGTGGTAGGTGGAGTGTGACGGTAGTGGTAGGTGGAGTGTGACGGTAGTGGTAGGTGGAGTGTGACGGTAGTGGTAGGTGGAGGGGTGACGTAGTGGTAGGGGGAGTGTGACGGTAGTGGTAGGTGGAGTGTGACGGTAGTGGTAGGTGGAGTGTGACGGTAGTGGTAGGTGGAGTGTGACGGTAGTGGTAGGTGGAGTGTGACGGTAGTGGTAGGTGGAGTGTGACGGTAGGGGAGGTGAGTGTGACGTAGGTTGGGCAGGGGGATGTGACGGTAGTGGTAGGTGGAGTGTGACGGTAGTGGTAGGTGGAGTGTGTGACGGTAGTGGTAGGTGGAGTGTGTGACGGTAGTGGTAGGTGGAGTGTGACCGGTAGTGGTAGGTGGAGTGTGACGGTAGTGGTAGGTGGAGTGTGTGACGGTAGTGGTGGGTGGAGTGTGTGACGGTAGTGGTAGGTGGAGTGTGTGACGGTAGTGGTAGGTGGAATGTGACGGTAGTGGTAGGGGGAGTGTGTGACGGTTAGTGGTAGGTGGAGTGTGTGACGGTAGTGGTAGGGGGGAGTGTGACGGTAGTGGTAGGTGGAGTGTGTGACGGCAGTGGTAGGTGGAGTGTGTGGACGGTAGTGGTAGGTGGAGTGTTGACGGTAGTGGTAGGTGGAGTGTGACGGTAGTGGTAGGTGGAGTGTGTGACGTAGTGGGTAGGTGGAGTGTGTGACATTTAGTGGTAGGTGGAATGTGACGGTAGTGGTAGGTGGAGTGTGTGACAGTAGTGGTAGGTGGAGTGTGTGACAGTAGTGGTAGGTGGAGTGTGACGGTAGTGGTAGGTGGAGTGTGACGGTAGTGGTAGGTGGAGTGTGTGACAGTAGTGGTAGGTGGAATGTTGTGACGGTAGTGGTAGGTGGAGTGTGTGACGGTAGTGGTAGGTGGAGTATATGACGGTAGTGGTAGGTGGAGTGTGTGGCGGTAGTGGTAGGTGGAGTGTGTGACGGTAGTGGTAGGTGGAGTGTGACGGTAGTGATAGGTGGAGTGTGTGACGGTAGTGGTAGGTGGAGTGTGTGACGGTAGTGGTAGGTGGAGTGTGTGACGGTAGTGGTAGGTGGAGTGTGTGACGGTAGTGGTAGGTGGAGTGTGTGACGGTAGTGGTAGGTGGAGTGTGTGACGGTAGTGGTAGGTGGAGTGTGTGACGGAAGTGGTAGGTGTAGTGTGACGGTAGTGGTAGGTGGAGTGTGTGACGGTAGTGGTAGGTGGAGTGTGTGACAGTAGTGGTAGGTGGAGTGTGACGGTAGTGGTAGGTGGAGTGTGACGGCAGTGGTGGGTGGAGTGTGTGACAGTAGTGGTAGGTGGAGTGTGACGGTAGTGGTAGGTGGAATGTGGGGACGGTAGTGGTAGGTGGAGTGTGTGACGTAGTGATAGGTGGAGTATGTGACGGTAGTGGTGGTGGAGTGTGTGACAGTAGTGGTAGGTGGAGTGTGTGACAGTAGTGGTAGGTGGAATGTGTGACGGTAGTGGTAGGTGGAGTGTGTGACGTAGTGATAGGTGGAGTATGTGACGGTAGTGGTAGGTGGAGTGTGTGACGGTAGTGGTAGGTGGAGTGTGTGACGGTAGGGGTAGGTGGAGTGTGTGACGGTAGTGGTAGGTGGAGTGTGTGACGGTAGTGGTAGGTGGAGTGTGTTACGGTAGTGGTAGGTGGAGTGTGATAGTAGTGGTAGGTGGAGGTGTGGACGGTAGTGGTAGGTGGAGTGTGACGGTAGTGGTAGATGGAGTGTGACGGTTGTGGTAGGTGGAGTGTGTGACAGTAGTGGTAGGTGGAGTGTGACGGTAGTGGTAGGTGGAGTGTGACGGTAGTGGTAGGTGGAGTGTGTGACAGTAGTGGTAGGTGGAATGTGTGACGGTAGTGGTAGGTGGAGTGTGTGACGTAGTGACAGGTGGAGTATGTGACGGTAGTGGTAGGTGGAGTGTGTGACGGTAGTGGAGGTGGAGTGTGTGACGGTAGTGATAGGTGGAGTGTGTGACGGTAGTGATAGGTGGAGTGTGTGACGGTAGTGGTAGGTGGGGGTGTGTGACGGTAGTGGTAGGTGGAGTGTGTGACGGTATTGGTAGGTGGAGTGTGTGACGGTAGTGGTAGTGGTAGGGGGAGTGTGTGACGGTAGTGGTGGGTGGAGTGGTGACAGTAGTGGTAGGTGGAGTTGTGTGACGGTAGTGGTAGTGGTAGGTGGAGTGTGTGACGGCAGTGGTAGTGGTAGGTGGAGTGTGTGATGGTAGTGGTAGTGGTAGGTGGAGTGTGTGACGGTAGTGGTAGGTGGAGTGTGTGACGGTAGTGGTAGGTGGAGTGTGTGACGGTAGTGGTAGGTGGAGTGTGTGACGGTAGTGATAGGTGGAGTGTGTGACGGTAGTGGTAGGTGGAGTGTGTGACGGTAGTGGTAGGTGGAGTGTGTGACGGTAGTGGTAGGTGGAGTGTGTGACGGTAGTGGTTAGTGGTAGGTGGAGTGGTGACAGTAGTGGTAGGTGGAGTTGTGTGACGGCAGTGGTAGTGGTAGGTGGAGTGTGTGACGGTAGTGGTAGTGGTAGGTGGTGTGTGTGACGGTAGCGGTAGTGGTAGGTGGAGGGGTGACAGTAGTGGTAGGTGGAGTGTGTGACGGTAGTGGTAGGTGGAGTGTGTGACGGTAGTGGTAGTGGTAGGTGGAGTATGTGACGGTAGCGGGAGATGGAGTGTGTGACGGTAGTGCTAGGTAGAGTGTATGACGGGAGTGCTGGGTGTTACCTATGACGTCATTCCCAACTTTCGCTCAAATTATCAAATGAACTGATAATGGGACAGGATAGAACGAAAGGTCGTTTAAAGATTCCTCACCAGCTGGCATTAGCCACGGTGTTGTGACTTGTGTTCTCAACGTTCTCCACAACACTGCTGCACATTTGTCTTTTTTTTGTGCTCTCTGTATGTTTTTCTTGAGCCTCCCCTTGGCTACTCTGCATTCTTGGTCCAACCATGGGCTCTATCCTTCTATTATTTTTTCTTCTTCTTTCTGCCTGTGTGTGTGCGTTTGTATCTACATGTAATCACGAATATGTGGTTGCAGGAGTCGATTCATAGTTCCTGGCCCCGCCTCTTCGCTAGTTGCTAGTAAGTCTACTGTCTCCGTGTGTGTGTGTGTGTGTGTGTGTGTGTGGGGTGTGTGTGTGTTGTGTGTGTGTGTGTGTGTGTGTGTGTGTGTGTGTGTCAGACAACATGGGATGGATGAAGTTGAGGAGCCTCGTATCAGAGATTTAAGAGAGTGTCTACGTCAGTACCAGTGACATATTTACTGCAGGGACAGCGAGTACCGGTTAAAACACACTCTCTACCTAAAAGCTAACTTTACCTTTAATAAAAATAACCTTACAATTACAACGTTTCTCGTAGAATTATGCGATAAAGCATGACGTAATTCGCTCTCCGTAAACACCCCAAATGAGCGTTGAAAATTAGAGGTTGAAAGAAGCGGCAGATAAGTGTGGTGGTTTACTGCCATCTATTGGTGGAGTCGAGCACGCCGCAGATAACGTTAGCTTCGCTAATGTTATGTCTCCCCGCAGTTTATCTTCTCTTAAGTATATAGTATTGGGTGTCTCGTGAGCGCTGCCACGTCAGAGGGAACCATAACAATGGCAGCTTCATACACACAACAAGAGAATCTCAACCTCCGCTGAATTACTTCATCCACAACGGGTTCTTGAGCGACTTTCCTCGATACAAAGAAAGGTTTGTGTCTTTGTTGTACTTGTTTGTTGTGTGATAACGAAAATACAACCATTGCTGTTGCTAATAAACCCCTCTTGGGAGGTGCCTGTGAAGGGCTCATGATCTAAGTAATTACTAGATGTGTTGTCCTCTTAGCTCGAACCTGAATGTCTCCCATTCCCCAAGCGCTATATGATACTACGGATGACAAGCGAGTTTAAAAGTAAGAAGTAATATTTTTATATGGTAATAACCCCTTAGCGAGGGGATCTTGATCTAGGGAACTGGATCTATGCTCCAGTTTCCTGAATTAACCCTGAATACCTTCCATCCCCCCCACAGGCGCTGTATAATCCTACGGGTTTAGCGCTTCCCCTTGATTATAATAATATACGGTAATAAAGCGAATGACAGTTTTAGTTTTAACATTGATTGGTGGGCGTTAATGTTTACGTAGCCAGGTGTGGCAGGGAGGACGTGATACTGGTCTGTATGACCGCATCACAAGTACCTTGTTAACTATGTAAGGTACTGCAGTTACGTTGTGGGAACACCCGCAGTGTGCTGCTACTCTATACCAGTTACACTGTGGGAATAAAACAGTTTCCCTGACGTGTTCCTTTACACAAGATGGTTTTATTAGATCGCAGAGGCTGGGTCTCAGACACGAGTTAATGATGTCAGTCCGAGGCGGGGAACTTCAGAAAATCTATTAAGAGCTTGTTATGCCGCTGTGTGTTCAGTAACTATGATAACTTCTAGTGGGACGTTGTATGACCCTTATGGGTTTAGCGCTTAGTTTTGATTGCAGTAATCTTACAATAAGACTGAAGTTACTGTTATAGTGGCCGGAATGACAGTTAAGATTGTGGTTTGGTTAAGGGAGGTTGTTAGCTTACGTTAGGTTAGGCTTGGGTAAGGTAGGCTCATTAGGTTAGATTAGGTTAAATTTTGTGCCCTTGCGACTTTTTTTTTCTAGATTTAGTATTGTATGTAGATTGTCTTTTAGAGTAACACACTCGTGTGAGGAGCTGCTGCCTCTGTGACTTTTGTTGGTAGACGACCTTACTAAAGGTGACGAGGATAGTTCAGCAGTGTCCTTCCTTCAAGTGAGGTGCTTTTATGCCGGGAAGGGTTCTTGGTCCAAAAAGTTGCTTCCGCCCCTCCCCCCCCCCGTCCTTGTATACTAAGCGCTGTATGATGCTGTAAATCTCCAGCACTTGCTTATGAAGTTATCAGCCTCGGCACACCGTCCAGCAAATGGTGGTGAGTATTACTGGGTATAACATCTTGATTGGTACACGAATGCTTCTGACATATTTTCTTTTAGCAAATTTTATATATGATAAGTGTGGGGTTACCCTAGTTGTTGCACAGTTGAAACAAAATCTGTCTCTAATATTCCCTCGGGAGGAATTGGTCACATACATAGTGATGAAATGTCAGTCTGAGCTGGGAGACTTTACTAAAGCAATGAGGATATCGTCAAGTATTCCTTAAAGGTTCAGTAACTATGTCAGCTTCAAAGGTTTCCTTCCAGCAGAGCAGCAATTATTACTGATTTGGAATTACAAACTCTCAGGATAGCCTATCCCATATACAGGATAAATTGAATTTTTATGAAGACATCATCACAGTTCTGGGCAACAAAGAGAGGGAGGGGTGGAATATAATTATAAATAATACATACGAACACGCATACAGCTATGTATATGAGAATGAGGCAAATTCTTTGTTGCTACAGCCTGCCGACAGAGTGCTTTTGTAAGACTCCTGAAGCAAGAGATTGCATCTACCTGGCACCTCTGCTGTTTAGTAGATATAAAAACACCCGTTACAGTTTTGTATCATTTGCAGATGACACTAAAATATGCATGAAAGTCACTTCGATAGAAGATACTAAAAAATTGCAAGACGATATAAGCATTGGGCAGTGGAGAACATGACGTTCAGTGGTTATAAGTTGCAACTGTTTAGGTATGAAAAGAATGAAAAACTCAAAAGGAACACTGTATAAAAAACTCTAAGAGGATCGTCAAATAAAACGAAAGGAACACGTGAAAGACTTGAATGATCATGTCAGCTGACCTTTCAAAAAACGCAATTAGAACAAGGTCACGACAGCCAGAAGGATGGCGGGGTGGATAATGAGAACTTTCAGAACAAGGGAAATAGTGCCATTGGTGACACTTATCAAATCACTTATGCTGTCTCATTTGTAATATTAAGTGTTGACGGCCCCGTTCAGGGCAGGAGAAACAACAAAGTTGGAACAGATTTAGATTGTTTACGGCCTGCATAGACCCACTACAGCATTTAAATTACTGGGAACGCCTTGGTTTTAAATATGTACTCATTGGAGCGTAGGAGAGAGATGCATGATAATACCCGGAAAGTACTCAAGGGCCTGGTCCCAAATCTGCACACTGCCATAACGACATATTGGAGTGAGAGATGGGAGGAACTGAAAAATAAATCCAGGATCAATGAGCCGCCTCGCATGGGTCAGTATGCCTACTGCAGTGCTCCTTTCTTATGTTCTTATGTAAAAAGCAGCGGTGCAGTGGGCACAATAAGGGAACACTGTATTTACATCCGTGGTCCCAGACTATTCGATATCTTGCCTGAAGATATCAAAAACACTGCTGGAACAAGTGTAGAAGTCTTCAATAGGAAAGTGGACAAGTATCACCATGTGCTAGATCAACCAGGCTGTGATGGATATGTGGGGGGCAGCGGGCCACCAGTAGAAATAACCTGGACGACTAGGCAAGCACCAGACGAGCCTGACCCAAGGCCGGGCTCTGGGAATAGAAAGACTCTTGGAACTCGCCAAAGGTACATCAAAAGTACCTGTCATGCATCATAATTACCTTCCATACTAGAGGAACAGCATCACACCTACGAGTTTATCGCTTCCCCATGAATATAATCTAGATTGGATATCAGATTGGAGGGGGAGAGTATGGAGGAAGTGAATGTATTCAGATATTTAGGAGTAGATGTGTCAGCAGATGGGTCTATGAAAGATGAGGTGAATCATAGAACTGACGAAGGAAAAACAGGTGTGGTGCACTGAGGAGTCTGTGGAGACAAAGAACTTTATCCATGGAAACAAAGAGGGGAATGTATGAGAATATAGTTATACCAACGCCCTTATATGGGTGTGAAGCATGGATGGTGAAAGTTGCAACAAGGAGAAGGCTGGAGGCAGGGGAGATGGCATGTCTAAGAGCAATGTGTGGTGTGAATATAATGCAGAGAATTAGTTTGGAAATTAAGAGGAGGTAAGGAGGTATAGGATTACCAAAACTATTATCTAGAGAGCTGAGGAGGGGTTGTTGAGGTGGTTCGGACATGTATAGAGAATGGAACAAAATAGTGACTTGGAGAGGGTATAAATCTGTAGTGGAGGGAAAGCAGGGTAGAGGGTTGGCCTAGAAAAGTTTGGAGGGAGGAGGTAAAGGAGGTTTTGTGTGCGAGGGGCTTGGACTTCCAGCAAGCATGCGTGAGCGTGTTAGACAAGATCGAATGGAGAAAAATGGTTTTTCGGACTTGACGTGCTGTTGGAGTGTAATCAAGGTAACATTTATGAAGGGATTCAGGGAATCCGGCAGGCCGGACTTGAGTCCTGGAGATGGGAAGTACAGTGTCGGCACTCTGAAGGAGGGGTGTTAATGTTGCAGTTTTATAACTGTAGTGTAAGTGCGCCTCTGGCAAGACAGTGAATGATGGGGGAAGTATCTTTTTCGGGCCACCCTGCCTTGGTGGGAGACCACCGATGTGTTAAAAACAACAACAGCTTCTTGGCCCTTCGTGTCCTCCCCCGTCCAGTGTGTGAGGGGGGGGGGATTGACAGGATCTCCCTGTGGAACGACAGTATGGGGAAGACAACTTGTCCACCAATGTGTGGGACACCGTCGGACCGAATACAGGTGGACCGGACACGGGTGGCCCGGACAGCGGTTCAGCTGCTTGACCAACATGAATAAATGAGAAATTGTGTGGAGTATCCATTACCGGTACACCAGTACCGGTAATGGATACCGTATGGACCAATGGGTGGACCAGGTACAATAGTGGTTCGAGCACCACCGGGCCAGGTATACCGGTGGTCGCTGGGTCACCGGGCCAGGTGTGCCGGCGGTCGCTGGGCCACCGGGCCAGGTATACCGGTGGTCGCTGGGCCACCGGGCCAGGTGTGCCGGCGGTCGCTGGGCCACCGGGCCAGGTGTGCCGGCGGTCGCTGGGCCACCGGGCCAGGTGTGCCGGCGGTCGCTGGGCCACCGGGCCAGGTGTGCCGGCGGTCGCTGGGCCACCGGGCCAGGTGTGCCGGCGGTCGCTGGGCCACCGGGCCAGGTGTGCCGGCGGTCGCTGGGCCACCGGGCCAGGTGTGCCGGCGGTCGCTGGGCCACCGGGCCAGGTGTGCCGGCGGTCGCTGGGCCACCGGGCCAGGTGTGCCGGCGGTCGCTGGGCCACCGGGCCAGGTGTGCCGGCGGTCGCTGGGCCACCGGGCCAGGTGTGCCGGCGGTCGCTGGGCCACCGGGCCAGGTGTGCCGGCGGTCGCTGGGCCACCGGGCCAGGTGTGCCGGCGGTCGCTGGGCCACCGGGCCAGGTGTGCCGGCGGTCGCTGGGCCACCGGCCAGGTGTGCCGGCGGTCGCTGGGCCACCGGGCCAGGTGTGCCGGCGGTCGCTGGGCCACCGGGCCAGGTGTGCCGGCGGTCGCTGGGCCACCGGGCCAGGTGTGCCGGCGGTCGCTGGGCCACCGGGCCAGGTGTGCCGGCGGTCGCTGGGCCACCGGGCCAGGTGTGCCGGCGGTCGCTGGGCCACCGGGCCAGGTGTGCCGGCGGTCGCTGGGCCACCGGGCCAGGTGTGCCGGCGGTCGCTGGGCCACCGGGCCAGGTGTGCCGGCGGTCGCTGGGCCACCGGGCCAGGTGTGCCGGCGGTCGCTGGGCCACCGGGCCAGGTGTGCCGGCGGTCGCTGGGCCACCGGGCCAGGTGTGCCGGCGGTCGCTGGGCCA